GCACTTGCCAATTTAATGGCAGAGAATGGTGACTTTTTTTTTAAGCGGATGCATATCTGTCGTAAAATAATCCTATGCATCTCGTGGCGTATATTCCAAGCATTCTGAAGGTATACTGAGGGTTTGTTGAGAAACAAACTGAAATGGCAAGTTATTATATTTTATGAAAATGTTGCGTTGCAGTGTGAGTGCGCAGCAGCTCACACTGCGCACAAGTGCATGTCCTTTTGAGATATCAATTATAATCAATTTTAATAAAACACAAGGCTACATTATGTAACTCTAACAGTAGGCTATTTAATATCTGTTGTTCTCCGGTTGTCAGTCAGAATGACAGTTCTTGCGTGAACATAGGCCTATATATACCCAAGCCAATTTATTATTCTTTCCTTTTTGTCTTGGTGTTTAAAATATTTATTTGGAAACAAATTAATTAATTAATTACTTAAAAAGACTTACTGGGTGAACAGTGTAGGCTATGACAATGTCTTAGTGTTTAAAATATTTATTTGGAAACAAATTAATTAATTAATTACTTAAAAAGACTTACTGGGTGAACAGTGTAGGCTATGACAACTGTCATATCATACTCTGCCATGCCAGCTGATGCAAATAATAGAATTTATATCTACACAGAAGAAAGCCCAGGCTAAACTCTGCCCAGGGATGAGTTGTGTCGAGCTATTCATTAGCCTGTTTGTTTGATGAAAAAAGACTAAATGTAGTTGCAATAAATGCGTTAAGAATCCATACAACTGCAGCAGCAGAGGACTATTATTCTGCTGTGTGATACTGCAGAAGAACTGATGACGGCACGGTTTGATCTTCGGCTGACCAATCAGCAGAAAGGGCCGTTTAATTCCTGCCCACATGTAGAAATCGAATATTCAACCTTTTTGTTCATTTTTCCACCCAAGAACGAAAAATTTAAATTTAAGCTGAATTCTTGTTTTTTGTGTTTTGAAAAAAAAATGAAAAAGGAGCCGTTTTCTAATTTTTCTACTTTCAATATTAAATTACTTAAAAAGACTTACTGGGTGAACAGTGTAGGCTATGACAACTGTCATATCATACTCTGCCATGCCAGCTGATGCAAATAATAGAATTTATATCTACACAGAAGAAAGCCCAGGCTAAACTCTGCCCAGGGATGAGTTGTGTCGAGCTATTCATTAGCCTGTTTGTTTGATGAAAAAAGACTAAATGTAGTTGCAATAAATGCGTTAAGAATCCATACAACTGCAGCAGCAGAGGACTATTATTCTGCTGTGTGATACTGCAGAAGAACTGATGACGGCACGGTTTGATCTTCGGCTGACCAATCAGCAGAAAGGGCCGTTTAATTCCTGCCCACATGTAGAAATCGAATATTCAACCTTTTTATTCATTTTTCCACCCAAGAACGAAAAATTTAAGCTGAATTCTTGTTTTTTGTGTTTTGAAAAAAAAATGAAAAAGGAGCCGTTTTCTCATTTTTCTACTTTCAATATTAAATCAAAAAACGAATGATCGAATGATACACGGATTCTGAAATACTAACTATGCTGTATTGTCATTACTGTCACAGCTGAAGGGCTTGCATGCACACTTTGTGCCTCTCAATGGTCTTAAACTGTAACTAAATTCAGAATAAAGCCTGTCTTCCTGTCTGTTAGTGTTTAAACTTCAAAAAGTAAGGGGGCCGGATGTAAACATTTCAAAAGAAATGGGATTTGTTAGTTATTTTTGCTACGTCCTTGTAGTCCAGTGGTCTTCAAACAGTGGCCTCAGCAAACTTCCAAGGGGGATGCAGGATGACTTATGAGAACCTAAATTAATAAATTATTATATATATTTTAAAATAATCTAAAAATGTTTCAAAATCATATCCTCCTCGTTACTGTTGTTGTTACTGAAGAACATGGTTCTTAAATAGTATTTCATCACAAAATAAATTGTGGTTAATTAAATTACTAAATCAATATTCCCAGTTTCTTTAAATAAAAATGGTTGAAAAAACAAAAACAAGCCGCTTAATTACAGCAGAAATACCAAAACTATATTCGCTTCTATTATGGGGGGGAAGACTTTGAATAATAAACTTGTTAAACTGAGTTGAAAAGGTTGAGAATCACTGCTGTAGTCCATAATAAATGTTTGCATGAGTGTAGTGCATAAGACGTGTTTTATATTCTCATGTATTTGTGCTCAGCTGACACAGAAGATGTGTGCATCGTGGAGAGATTGTTCTCCAGCAGCCTTGTCGCTATTGTCAGCCTTAAGGCACCTAGGAAGCTGAAAGTCTGTCATTTCAAGAAAGGGACTGAGATATGCAACTACAGCTACTCAAACACTATACTGGCTGTAAAACTAAACAGACAGGTAAGTCAGCAAACATCCATTTCCTGTGGTGCATGTTTACAGTATTATGTTTTATTACAAGTGATCAGACCGTATGAGAATGTTGCAAACCTGCTTTATTTCCACAGAGACTGATAGTGTGTTTAGAGGAGTCACTCTATATCCACAACATTAGGGATATGAAAGTACTACATACCATTCGAGAGACGCCTCCGAATCCTTCCGGTGGGTATCACTGCTTGTCATCAGTGCATCATTGTCAGTGTGCTGTTTTTTTCCAGACTTTTCATGTGGAAGTACATGTAGCAGCTTCTTCTTTCAGAAAGATCTAGTGCTCTATTTATGTTTGGGGAACTGAAAGCGTAGGTTTGCGACCCGTTACTAATGGCCTCGTTGTTATTAGTATTAGCCAGACAGATGTTTTATTTGTGATTATTAATGTCAATAAACATTTATAGGACTATGTACCCTGTCAATCAGTAATGACAACTGTTACTTGGCCTATCCGGGAAGTGCAACAATTGGAGAGGTACAAGTTTTTGACACAGTCAATCTGGTAAGTACTGTGTAGTTTTAATGTTTGCCATAATTATGGTTTTAAGGGATTATTATTATTGTGTTAAACAGGGTTGGTCAGTATGTCTGTGTGTGTGTGATATTCCTCCCCAGAGGGCAGCTAACATGATACCTGCCCATGATAGTCCACTAGCAGCACTGGCGTTTGATGCAAGCGGCACTAAATTGGCCACGGCATCTGAGAAGGTAGAGCCGTGTGTGTGAGACACTCATTCAGATTATAATAAAGCTGGGTGATATGCCAATATTCATATGATTCACTTCTAACTAATTCAGTGAATCGATTCCAAACTCTGAACTGTTTGCTTGTATTGTCAATCAGAAATGTTTACGGAAGTCACTGCACGGTATTCTTCATGAATCAATTTTTGTTTTTAGTTAAAAATATATGAAGGCTGTTTATTACTGTGTGTTGTATTTGTGAATACAAGTAAATTATTAAATGTCATTATTTTAAACAACTTTATAACTAGATTTTTCCTTTGTTTTTCTTTTTTCTCTTGCATTAAACGTTTTGATTTTTGAATCTGCTTAGCTACAGTTGTTTGGTTGATAAAGACAATGAATTGTAGCTCCAGTTTTGTGTGATTTTTAGTGATTTTTAGTGATATTGCCCAACTATACGCACTACCAATAAAATTTTTGGGGTTAATACTAATGTTTATGAAAGAAGTCATAATGTTTACTAATGAAAATAATACTAATGTGTATGAAAAACAGTAACATTGTGCAAAATTATTACAATTTTAAATATATTTTCTATTTTAAAATGTAATTTATTCCTGTGATGGTATAGCTGTATTTTCAGCATTATTATTCCAGTCTTCAGTGTCAGATGATCCTTCTAGAAATCAATCGAATATGCTGATTTGCTGCTCAGGAAACATTTTTTATTTCTTTTTCAGGATTCTTTGATAAATAGAAAGTTTAAAAGAACAGAATTTATTTGAAGTAACAAATATTGTTACTGTCACTTCTGATCAGTTTAATGCATCCTTGCTGAATAAAAGCATTAATTTCTTAGAGAAAAAAAATCTTAGTGACCCCAAAATTTTATGGTAATGTATATACATAGAATATTTTTATTGGTTATTGAGTATCCTGTACAATTTACTGTGAACCTAAAACAGGACTAACAGTTCTGATGCATTGTGCTGGGTATTACCACTCCATAGCTGAATGTCAAATATTTTCTGATTGGCTGTGATTTATTTTTTTCTCTCTCTCTGTTCATACATGATAAAAGAGGAATTGCTTGACTCAAAACTTAACGCATCATGGCTAGTAAAGAGTGTTTAAAAAAGACAAGGGGACATTTTTATTGTGATGTTTTTTCAGTTTAGTTTAAATTTATTATTGTTGATGTTGTTGGTTGTTGTTTTTTGAAACCCCTTAACTGTCACCCCCCATTTTTTAAAATAGGCATGAAAGCGCACTGTCCAAACTTACATTGTTGTAATTTATTAACCCTTTAGAATACAGACCTAATGTCTCTTTTTAAAGAAGAAAATCAGTAGATTATTGCAAAAGTGGAATTTTTTCAAAAAATTAAAGTATCAAAAAGTTATAGAAGTTTAAATGTACTGTAAATGAAATGCACTATATTCATTTTATTTTATTTGTTATAATTATTTTACATAACAGGTTTTACTCTAAAATTGGTATAAAATTAAAGCCTCATGTCTAAATAAGTTATGTTCCAAATTTGAAGTTATGAAAAAAATTGAGGTTCCTGTGACATTTTATTTAGGGCGTCATACCACAAACAACCACCGGGTGTCATCCAAACGCAATTAAAACAAAATGTATGCATTTTTCTGTCACAAATGTCTAGATTTCTCTGTCAATATTACTTCTATCTCAAAATAGAATAGAAAATAGACTCAGACCTTTCCAATGATATGTTTTTTGTCAAGATTATAAAAAGGTTTGATTCAAAAAGACTGTAATGCATTTTGTAATATGACACTTGTCACCGCCCACTAAGGGGGGAGGAGAGCACCAAAAGATTTTAAAGTACCATTTCTATGGTAATGCAATGTCCGATTTCAAAATGGTTTTCAGAGGATGAATCTTGGGCTTCTAAGCTTGCAAGTGATATATGATTTATGATGATTACTAAAATATTTGATAGAGAAAAAGGACAACAACAAAAAAAGAGCGCCAAACATCCCACAGGTGGGACTTTGACAGTTAAGGGGTTAAATAGTCCTGCAGTGAGACTAAAAAATACAATTTCCAATTACTGGTCGTCTCTTTACTGAATCAAAGTCTTAAAAACTGTGTTCAACTTAAGAATTGTATTAAACCGTTTGTATCTGAAAAATAGTTTTGGGTTTACACTGATTGAAATGTCATGTGAATTACTCATGTCAATATGTTTCTTCCTTTAGGTTAGATGGAAGTGCAGAGCCAGCGAATGAAATCCTTGAACAAACCGCTCACGACCGGCCACTTGTGGCACAGACCTACAGTGCTGCTGTGGCCAAAGGTAAGAAGCTGTCGTTTTCACTCAAAGAATCATAGAATGTAAATGTTCAAATGGCCTTGAATGGTTTTCATTGGCTCAGGTTACACTGCGGATCAGGGGGCGGTAGGGGGTGCTGGAGTGGAGGATGACATGAACACCCTGCACCTGGACGAAGAGAACGAGCAGCCTCCGTTAATCCTGGAAACAGACTGAGCTGCTGCCAGTCATGCCCTGGGCGGAAGATGGATCCGACTGAGTGACATTGCAGAGGGGGGTTTCCTCCTCTGGTGCTGCTATAGACATGTGTGACCAGATAGAGAAAGGGATTAAAAGAGAGATCATTTTAAAGCAAGCCTAGCTGTAGCCTTATTCTGTCTGTTGTTGCGTATAGATGTTTCCCTTCCCCCACCCTTGTGGCTTTATAAAACCTGGTGAATTTTTCTTTTGTTTCCTCTTTTTAATGCCCAGGTATGTCCTTAATCAGACCAAAATATGAAATCCAAGCTGCAGGTGTCCCGTTTCTTAGCTTTGCATGTACATGTGCCAAGAATAGAAATCCTAGAAAACCTTTGCTTTCATGAAGTTGGTTCTGATGTGTTTGCTGGCCATTTCTCCTCTTGAACTTTGACATTTGTGTCTTTTCAATTGTGATTGAAAGCGAACTGGCTTGCGCCGCCTGCTACATCACCACACAACTGTGCAGTGTCTGCATTGTGGAGTCACTTACCAATCATCAACATCTGTAGCTGTGCAATGGCACCAAAATGTGAATATTGTCCTGTAAAAATATATATGACGTGTTAACATGATGCCCTGGTTACAATTACTGTTTGAACAGTGTTTTTAACGGGCTTAGAGGGTTGTTTTTAGTTTTATCTTGAATTACTGCATCTGTACACGCACATGCTTTACAATACTCTCTTTTAATTAATCTCATGCCTCATTAAGGTTAAACAGGCAATGTGGAGATGAAAACTTTCTTTTTGGACCCCTAGTGTCTTCATACTGCCTGATTTCTTTGAAAAAAAAATAGCATTATTTTAAGTTTCAATCACTTAAGTAACCTCAATAGTAGGACTGATGACTGATGAAGGCATTTAATGTATTGTTTTGAGGAGGAACTAGCCTGTGTTAAACGTGGTTTCAAGAGGCAGTCAGTCATCAACTTGTTTCTAGGACATTTTGTTTTAAACTTGAGGAATGAAGGAAGTTGAAGTCGTGCCCTGTCTCTTTGATTTATTCTCAATACCAGCAGCTGACGATTGCTTATGAGCCTCATTTTTGGTAGGTTCCTACTTTGAGGGTCTTGTCCTTTGCAAAGAGGAAAAGCGGAATATATTTCTTTAGTAAAAGGTTGCAGCATTTAACTTACAAATGGGGTAAGTTAGAACCAGAACAGGTCAAATGTTTAAAGTGATATCCAGTGTTCTTTTAAAAACTTGAGAGGACCAGGGTTTATGAATGTGATTACCAAATATTCACAATACACAATGTGAGCCGGTGTGTCTAAATAAGCACATAGAGCAAACAAAAAAACTTTGGCATTCGGAGATACTGCCTGAATTCTTGGAGCTCTAAAGAATCTTGAGATGATTTTTATGCATGATTGCCTCTTGAGCATGTTTTGATGTTGCATATCAACAAATGTCAGTAATAAATTGACTTCCGTCCTCATCAGCCAATGAGCTCTAATCCCCCAAGGCCACTTTACTGTTTTCTAATGATTTTTGTATAAAATGTAAATTGTTCCATAAAAAAATGAAATAAATCCTCTGTTGAAAATGTTTAGTATCTTATTAGATTTCCCCCCCATTCCATTCCTTTTTAAATTCAGTGTAGAGAGTGGTGTACTGATCTTTTATGTTCATTATACATCTCATAAATATTACATAGAATTGCATTGAAATTATTGGGTTAACACAGGAAATATTCAGCATGTTAAACCTCAGCAAGTAATCATTTTTATTTTATTAGTTTCAATTGTAGTTTATTAAAAAATCCAATGCAAGGTACCAGCACTAATTAAAGAAAAGCAATCGATGACCAGCATATAAATTCAGACGAAATTCAGTTTTTGGTTCATCCAGAACCAGTTTCCTAAATTTTTTTCAGTATAAAACCCGTAAACCACTAACACTTAATCAAAACATAATCTTGGAAATGTATAGACAACTGCATTAAAAAATAGAGAGAGATTGCAAAAAGCCGAGCAATATGAACGGCAGACATTTTGTTCTGATGCCTGCAATGTCTAGACAATCTTGAGGTCCTTCATTGCAGATTCAAGGGTCTGAAACACAGAATTAACAAAATAAGTCATCTTTATGCACTTTGCATTTTTGACTACTGCTAACAAATGAATAATTATGAAATTCACAAAAGTTAAAACGAGTACCTTTACATCCCAAATAGCCATGCCTCCATCCATACCAGTGGTGCAGAATTTGGCACACTGTGCTTTTCCCCCATTAAGAATTGAGATTTGGCTAAAAAGTGATAAAAAATATCAAACATCAAAATGTCTATTGTTGTATATTAATGTTTCAAGTTGAAGCATTTTCAGCATCACTAGAGGCAGCAAACTGAATTGCAATCTGTTTATTTCATGCTGGGTGGGGCATTTCAACATTGGCTCCGTCCATCTTGTGATTTTGGGGGCGGAGCTATTTGTTTCACCAATAAAAGACAGGAAGTGTTTGAAACTTATTTTTAATGCCACAGTGGATCAGAAATTACAAACTTTCAACATAAAGGAATGAGTCTGAAAGACAAAAAATAGGCCGTACCTAATGCTGTTCT